ACTAGCTGTGTGGTTCAGAAAGGCAGTGGCTCTTTGCTTTGCAGAGTGAAGAGGTCTGAACAGCAGCAGCATCTCCAACTCTAAAGCCCTCCCCAAGCTCTAGAACCAATTCTGGAGATCAGAAAGGAGCTAGATGCCATAGTGATTATCTGCCTGAGATTTCTGATAGTGACTAGGACTGTTCATGCCTGGCTTTGACTCTGTCTCCTCTAAATGGGCTTCTGGAGAAATGAGCATTGCTTTAGGGTAAATAAAGCAATTGCTTTTAGGATAGATAAAATTTGGGTTCCCCCCCCCCCCCCGTCCCTTCTTTCTTTTTAGAGCCATAGGATGAACTTGGCCCATGTTGGGGGTGGTACGAGAAAACTGTCTATATCCTGTCAATTATGTTTTAAATAAACACTGATTGACCAGTAGCCAGGCAGGAGGCATAGGTGGGACAACCAGACAGGAAGTAGAGGCGGGTCAATGAGAACAGGACAATTCTGGGAAGGAGGAAGCCTATTTCTCCCCAGTCCTGGCCAGACTCCGAAGAAGCAAGATGTGACCTACCCCGCTGGAAAAGGTACTGAGCCATGTGGCTAACATATACTAGAATAATGGGCTATTGTAAGTTATAAGAGTTAATAAGAAGCCTGAGTTAATGGGCCAATCAGTTTATAACTAATGTAGACTTCTGTGTGATTCTTTGGGACCTAATGACTGTGGGAACTTCTTAGTTACATAAAAGTCTAAGAAGCATTTACTACAGAGATTCTAACAGGCAATACACTGGCTAACCCACGAAAGCTATTCTTGCTGCTCTTTGGGGAGGCCTTGGTGTCCACTGACTGACACTATGACCTCTGAGTCACCTGCAGACACATCTCTAGAATGGCCTGAGTGGGTGATGTTTCTCTTATTCACTTTCTTCCACGTGTAGGTGAGTTATGCATTGTAATTAGTATTAGAGGTAGAGGCTAATGTCCTGAAACAGGCTTAAACATAGATCCCAAAGCTCATCTATTGCTAACAGACTAGTAGAGAGGCAACAGGACCCTGTATATGTTTCTCAGAGACTTCCAGAGCTCGGGAAAGCCAAACATGGTGTCACCTGACTGTGACCACTGCATTTTGGAGGCAGACGCAGGAGGACCATGAGTTTGAAATCAGGCAGTACAACATAGAGGACCTGTCTCAAAAAAAAAAAAAAAAGGAAGAAGGGGAGGAGAGAGGAGGGGAGCAAAGGGAAAGAAAGGGGAGGGGAGTAGAGGGAAAGGAAGAAGGAGGGGAGGGGAAGGAAGGGAAAGGAAGGAGAAGGAAAGACTTGAAGGAAAGGGGGGGGGCATGGGAGACTCTAGAGAATAAAGAACTACTCATCTACAGTTCCAAAACCAGAGCCACCACACCTGAGTTTCCATCCTTTTGGACTTTGGGAGACAGGATCTTGCTTTGGTGCCTAGGCTGGCATCAAATCCATGATCCTCCTGCCTCATCTTTCTGTGCATTAGGACTACAAGTGTGCTGGGATGAGCTTTGATTAATTTTTTTGTTCACATATTTACTTTTGAGACAGGGTCTTAGTGTGTGGCTCTGACTGGTCTAGAACTCACTCTGTAGATCAGACTGGCTTAGAACTCAGAGATCCACCTATCTCTGCCTCCTGAGCCCTGGGATTAAAGGCCTGTGCCACCATACCCACAGAGCTTTAATTCTTAAACAAGACTCCCTCTCCCACCCCTGCTATTTCCAAACTGAACATGAAATGGTTAGAATCCTAATGTGAGATTACAAAAGATCAAGTGACTAGGCTAGTGTCCCCCAGACGAATAACAAGGATATCTTGGGTCCCAACCTGTCTGATTAGAGGTTCTTGCTTCAGAGCCCTTGAAACACTCAGGAGTTCTGCCACTTGGCTTCTCTAAGGGTCTGGGGAGGATGGAATGTAACTGATCATTGGGTAAGGAGTGTCCTTTTGGAGTGACCCAGAGGCTTAAGAACCACACAGAGGTTACACAACACTGTGGGTCCATCCAGAACCTCTGAGCTGGATACTTTTCAACCCTGACCTTTATGTAACGTTCATTTTTATCTTGAATTAAAGAAGAGAAAAACTCAAGGGCTTCTCCTGTACCAGGCAGGCACCATGGCTCCTCCCTGCCCTGTTTTGCCAAGTTTTCCCAAGGCTAAGACCTTTGCTAAGACAGCTCAGGCTTTGGATATCTAGAACAAGAACCTTCCTGTTAATTTCCCCAATAATCCATCTCTGGAAATTGTTGACAAGTGAGTCATAAACCTCAGGCTCTATTGTGGGGTTCCAGAGGTTACAATAGGGCCCAGTTTACACCGCTATCAGAGGGGTGGGGGATGACTTTAGACAACTCTCTCTGAAAAGTTTATTTCAAAATATAATATTCACTTGTGTTCATAAGACTAAGTTCCATGGATTTTATTCTGGGCAAATCAGAAAAGCAAAGTCCATTGTTAGCACAGGCAGAGGACAGAACAGGAGTCTGCTTAAAAATCATGGTTCTTGCTCTAAGGAATCATCCCAGGACTTCAAGGAGGAGGGCAGGTGAGGTGCTTTGAGGTAAGGGGACATGATAAGTTTTCTGTGAGGTAAGGAAACATGATAAGTTATCTGTGAGGCTCTCGTATCTGGGTGTCACCACTCACTCCATCAGGGATTTTTGAGGATACATATGTGTGCTGGAGAGAGGGCTCATTCGGTAAAGTGATTTCCAAACAAGCGTGAGGACCTGAGTTTGACCCCAGGGTCCATCTCAGAGCCAGGTGTAGCATGTACGTGTACGTAATCTCAGTGCTGGGGCAGTGCAGGCAGGAGGAGTCCGAGGCCTTACTAGCTGGCCAGTCTAGACAAATCTTTAAATCTTCCAGCTCCAGATTCAGTGAGAAACACTGTCTCAAAAAAATAAGAGTGTGAGCGATGGCTCAGATAGGAAATGTGCTTTGCTGCACAAGCCTGACGACCCCCAGGTCCCACAGTGGAAGGAGAGTGCCAACTCCCAAGAGGTGGCTTTTAACCTCACATACATGCTGTGGCAGGTGCATGCCTGTGTACACATGCTAATAATACATAGCATATTTGAATTAAAAAGTAAGGTGGGGAGCTGGAGAGATGGCTCAGCAGTTAAGAGTACTGACTGCTTTTCTAGAGAACCTGGTTTTGAAACCCAGGAACCACATGGCAGTTCACCACCAGAAACTCCATGTCCGGGAGATTAAATGCCCTCTTCTTGGCCTCTGAAGATACCAGGCATGCATGTGGTACACAGGCACACATTCAGGGAAAACACCCAAACACATAAAATACATTTTTAAAGCCGAGTGGTGGTGACGCACACCTTTAATCTCAGCACTCAAGCGGCAGAGGCAGGAAGCACTCCATAAGTTCGAGGCCAGCCTGGTCTACAAAGTAAGTTCCAGGACAGCCAGGGCTGTTACACAGAGAAACCCTGTCTCTAAAACAACAACTGAAAAAAAAAAAAAAGCTAAGGTGGGAGTGATGGAGGGAGACACTTGCTGTTGGCTGACGGCATCTACATGCATAGACACACACCTGCACATGCACATGAACATAAGTATCCATCGCATTCACATCACACACACAGGCAAAAGAAATGTATGCAGAGCCAGGAAATGAGGCTGAGTACCCTTCCTCCTTGGAAAGAAACCCTCGCTGCCAAGGTGACACTATAACCCAAAAGAGAGCAATACTAGCATCCTCTTTGATGAAAGGAAACTAAGAAGTGAGTCTCCTTTCAAGAAGGGGGTCAGATGTAATTAAATGCAGGAGACAATGGACCACTTGATACTTAGTTCAGCAGACACAAGTTCTTGGGTTTGGTTCCCAGAATTACAGACCGTGATGCAAATTCTCGATGTGATTATGGGGTGCTTCTGTGGGAAGCCACCTTTTTGACCTCAGAGAACTGTGTGAAGGGTTTTTATTTATTTATTTAATATGTATCCGTGTGCCATATGTGTGCCTGGTGTTCATTATGATCAGAAGAGGTCAGTCACCAGATCCCCTGGAACTAGCATTATGGATGATCGTGTACCACCACGTCGGTGCTGGAAACTGAACCTGACTCTTCTGCAAGAACAACCAGTGCTCTTACTCACCAAGTCACCTCTCCAGACCAAGATGAAGATTCTTTTTTTTTTTTGAGGCTACAACCATCACCTTTATTTTAATCCTTCTATAATAAGTTGGCAAAGAATGCCACCAGCAACCACATATGTATAGAAGTTCCAGTTTTGTTTTGTTTCTGCAAGGGTGTTTAAGGACAATTCTGAATTGCAATTTAGTCTTAGATAATAAAGAATTAAGAAGTAAGGTATAAGTTGCTTGTTTCTAAAAGCATTTTAACTTAATGGATCAACTATAACATGTGCCAATACTCTTTATTTGATATATTCTACATAGACCACAGTAAGGGCCTTTCAATGGTAAAAGGCAGCATCCTTTGACTTAGGGAATTCTAATAAAATAACACCATCGAGTCAAGAATAGACAGTTGCCTCCTGATGTTTAGCCATTGCCTGTAACAGCAGGGAGTACAAACTTTACCACAGGCGAGTCTTCTCGTTTCTAAGATGGTGACAGAATTTCCCCAGCGTTCAAACATATTCATGTCTAATTACATAAATTTAACTATAAAACTATTCAATAGATTTGAGGCGACACCCCCATCTTTGTGGAAAGTAGAACTTTAATAATTAAGTCCAATCTTATCTTGAGAAAGGGAGAGCAGTGACGGTGTTTATGCAACTGGAATCGTTACTTTTATAAAGATCACATCCACTTTTTCTACAAGTCAGTTGTCCTTAATCAGGACTGTCCAACAAAACATTGTTAGCCGTTCATGATCTGAATTTGGGGGTGTGAAGTAAATTACGGTAGACGTTAAACGTCATGAGACATTTGTTTTGTAATAAATAAGGCAGTGGAGTTACTCCTTAGCAGCCTTTTTAAGATAAGCTATTAGGTCTGCCCTCTATCCCTTCTTTTTAATTCCAGCGAAGATTATTTTTGTTACAGGGATGTACTTTTTGGGATTCTCCAAAACTCCATCAGGCATCCTGAGTCCAGCCGCCTGACCTGTCTTCCTCCCAAACAGACCGCGGAGATTTGGTCCAGACTTATGCTCGCCTCCCTTTTCCACAGTGTGGCACTGGGCACACTTCTGAAAAAAACTCTTCTTGCCTTTCTCAACGTTGCCCATTTTTGATTCGCTCCTGGGTGATCAACACTAGAAATGCTGTGACCCGAAGATGGACATCCCGCTCTCTCCCTAGATGAAGATTCTTGATGAGCTAACGAATCAGTTTGGGCAATAATGCTCCAGGTAAAAGCGAGCTGTCCCTTTTCTGTCCTCCACCTGCTCTCTAACCTTGTTCTGTTAGCTCAAGAATTTTCCTCAATTTCACCTTCCTTGTGTTGACATAAGGAGGTTCTTGTGAAATTGCTAGGCGAAAATAAGTCTTCAACATCTAAAACACACATCTTCTGATAGAGATCACAGCTTGCAAAACAAGTTTTAAAAAACCTGTAAAAGCCATAAGGTCAGGGAGGACCTTGGACTTCCCACAGGGCAGGAAACCCTGACTGCTTTTAGGACTGGAGTGGGAGGGAAATGGGTGGAGGGGAGGAGGTGAAAAGTTTTAATCAATCAATAAATAAATGCCATAAGGTCATATGATTCTATTTGTGTAAAGGGCATTTGCATGCATGCATATGTGTGCCTGTGTATGCTGTGGATGATTGAAGAAAACAAAACAATAGGACCTAGCAAGATGGCTCAGCAGGTAAACATGTTTGCTGTGCAAACCTAAGGACCTTGTTCTATCTCTACATCCACATAAAGGTAGAAGGAAATGATGGATTTCATTAAAGTTGTACTCTGACCTTTACACATATGGCATCACATAGAAATGCAGATAAACACATATAATGCATCCATACATATAACAATAATAAATAAACTAAAAATTATTTTAACCTTATTTTATGCATGGGTGTTTGGCCTGTGTGTTTATATGTGCATCATATGCATGCAGTGCCCATAGGCCAGAGAAGGGTGTTGACTCTCCCGGAACAGGCGTTACAGATGGATGTAGGCTGGGAATTGAACTCAAATTCTCTGGAAAAGCAGCTAGTGCTCTAAACTGCTGAGCCATCTCTCCAGCCCAAATAGAACTGATGTGGGATTCCCCTCTGTATGCTGTGAATACCATTGGTTAATAAGAAACTGTCTTGGCTTGTTGATAGGGCAGAGTAGAACTAGGCAGGGAAAACTTGTCAGGGCCCACGGGCCCCGACATAGTAAACTATTTTCCCTAACTGGACTGGTACAAAGGTGCAAGAAATAACCAGACACAGCTTACACCATCATCACAGAAGGGCACCTCAGGCTTTACTCTATTCTGAAGATCTACCCACGTTTATTATATCAAAACATCTCTCAATCCCCACTCTTTCTGGGAACACGTCTAGGGACAGCACCTGCAATTAAGTCCTCAGAGTCAGCAAACACCTCTCCCCATGCAATCTACATCTATAACAAAAGAGAAGGAGTAGCATATCCTGGCTATTGTTGAGGGCAGTGACAGGCTGTCTGCAGGTCTATGTGACCACCTCAGGTGGGTCTATGGCTTCAGAGCCTGGCTGCCACACCATAAAGAAATATGGGCCTACAGAAACTAAACTGAATGCTGGGAGAAAGGAGGCAGAGTCAATGAGAAGCCATGTATCCCCGCCAGTGTTGGACGGAACTTTACTCGGTTAGTCACAGCCTCATGGCGGAACTTTACCTGGTAAGCCACAGCCTCGTGGCAATACACAGATTAATGGAGATGGGTTAAGATGAGTTAGCCAGAAATATGCTTAAGCTATTGGCCAAACAGTATTGCAAATAATATGGTTTCTGTGTGATTATTTTGGAGCTGAGCAGCTGAGTATTAACTAGCGGTCTCCTACAACATAGAACCATTTTAAATTCTACAAATTCCTTCTCATTCCTGTAAGTTTTCTACCCTCTTTTACTGTATGACTGACTCCATTGAGATGTACAGTCTATTTGTCTGCCACTTAAACCTGAACTGGCCATATTTTGCTTTGACCAAAGGCTTATTAGCAACAATGATTAAAGCAGAGAGTTGAAACTGCTTATTCATTAGAGTGCAGCCTTTCTTTTCCTTCCTTCCTTCCTTCCTTCCTTCTTTCCTTCCTTCCTTCCTTCCTTCCTTCTTTCCTTCCTTCTTCCCTTCCTTCCTTCCTTCCTTCTTTCCTTCCTTCTTTCCTTCCTTCCTTCCTTCCTTCCTTCCTTCCTGCCTTGCTGCCTTCTTTCTTTCTTTCTTTCTTTCTTTCTTTCTTTCTTTCTTTCTGTTTTTGTTTGTTTGTTTGTTTTTTGAGACAAGGTGTCTCTGTGAAACAGTCCTGGCTGTCCTGGAATTAGCTCTTGTAGACCAGGTTGGCCTCTAACTTACAGAGCTCTCCCTGACTCTGCCTCTGCCTCTCCAGTGCTGAAATTAGGGTGTGTGCCACTACCGCCTGGTGAGTGCCGCCTTTCTTATTGCTGGCTGTTCTTCTACCTCCACCTGAGACTGGGTGCCTGCTGGGAAGTGTGTGGCAGTCACTCCACCTGAGCCACCCTCCAGACATGTGAGGACCCCCTAGCCCAACTAGTTTACAGACGTGTGGTCAGGCCATTCTAGATCGTCCAGTCTCTGTTGAACAAGCCCAGACCAGAACTGCTTAACTGTCCCAACTGATCTTGAGCAAATAAAAACGCTTGTTGCTATCAGACACCATGTCTTGCAAAAGCCAACACACACACACACACACACACACACACACACACAGAATATCTCTGCAAAGATTTTGTTAATAGTCTATATAGTTTGTCTGGAGGTAAGAAATTTACGTCAATAGCATGAATATGAGATTTTTTCCCCACTGTATTTCTTGTGTGTGTGTGTGTGTGTGTGTGTGTGTGTGTGTGTGTGTGTGTGTGTTTAAAACAAGAGCTCATGTATCCCAGGCTCCTCTAGCTCACTATGAACTCCTGATCTTCTTGTCTTTACCTCCCAAGTGCCAAGGCTATAGACATGAGCTTCCATGCCTAGCCTCTCCATACCTCTTAAACCACATAAATGAATTTACTCCAAAAAATAAATATAAAGTTGAAATAATTGAATTAGTGAACATTATCAGACCTGACTTGTAGGAAAAGGTAGTTTCAGTTCATAAAGCACACTTGTGAGACTTCAGAAAACAACAACTACAACATGAGTGTATAGACTTCTTGTTCAGTTCCCTTTCCTCAGAATGACGAAGACCTTTGTCCCTTAGCACAATGAAAGCTCAGTGTAATATTCAGTGTTTGACTCAGCTGTGGTTGATGGAAGTGCTTGAGACTTCACAAACCTGTAAGACGCGAAGCATTGTTTCACTTACTTCCTGCTGGGATCTGACTGAAGTTCTCCTTCTTTTATTGTGGCAGTCTGCAACACTCAAGTCTGTTTCGTCATGTCTGTCCATCCATCTGTGCCCTGTGCCCCGTCTCTGCCCTCTCCCGCCTGCGGCGCCTGCCATATCCTTTGTTAAATCTGAGTGGGCTTAGAAGAAAGGAAAAGCTTCTGAAGGGTTGAGCAATCTAATTGTGGGGGAGGTGGGGGTGGAGGGGAGGAACCTCAACAGCCATTAGTTCGAGGCACCTGGATGTTCTTCTCCTTTCTGCTTCTTCTTGAGGTCATTCCTTCTTTCTCCCTGCTGCCCAGTTTCTGGAGAATGGATTGCTGAAGAATTGCGAGCCTTAAAGTTTCCAGATCATTTCTAATCCCTCTGGAATGTAAACTCTGACCCCCAAGTGTAACGGCGTAAACGAATGCAGACAGATTGTAACTATATATATATAATATATATATATATATATATATATATATTTTTTTTTTTTAATGTCGAAATAGACTTACAGAACCACCGTTCCAGCGGAGACCAGGAAAGCAGAAGTGGCGGCTGGGAGCACGCTCACCAAATTTATAGGCAGACATTAGCCCGAGGCGAACATGCCCCCCAAGGGGCGGGACTTATCCCTACATCTCCCCTTTTTGTCTAAATAAGACAGAACCAAACCAAATACAACTATATACAATAACAACAAATAATAAATATAACAAACAATATTGAGAACAAAAGCTTTGCTAAACATTCTATCTCAAGGAATCCAAATAATGTAGAGAGTAACTACAATTATATAATCTTCAACTCCGTCAAAGATCTGAGAAGGGAATAAACACTACTCAACTAACGAGATATATCCAAAATGTGCAACAATTGACAGAGACAACTGACTACCTGGGCAATCACCCAAAGTCTCGTTTGCAACGTTGAGTCAACCAATTTTGGCTAAGGCCTAACATAACTGACATACCATTATTAAAGGCAAGGAACTTTTCAAAACTATCTTACCCTGTCTTGGCAGGATATGACAGTCCTGTTTTATCTATTGATGCACGCTCTGTATCTCTGTCAGTGGTTGAGGTATGGGCATTTCTTTGCCCAAAGGCCAGTTCTGCCAAATAGAAAGGCTCCAGATGGAGTGTCTTTGGTGCTCAACATTCTCTTGGGAATAGAGCGGTGTTGCCAGGAGCAATTGTGTCTCACTATCACGAAACTCTGAGTTAGATTAAAGGCCATTTTCTACAGCTCTTTGAAGAGGTCGAAGATTATCTATCTATACTGAGTATAATCTCTATATATCTAAAGAACCTGATTAGTCTAATTATAAATGACAAACTTAGATGACTATTTATCAATATAATTCTCAATATCTATCTAACTTAAAGACTAAGACAACAACTGTGTAACAAATGAGGATAATGGCCTCCAAATATAAACACTGTACAAATATACATTGCAATATGGTAAATATATATCAATACACAAACATTATATAAGTATCTTAATCAGAGGTAGAAATGTACACTGCAATATGGTAAATATATACAATATATATTTATCAATACAATATATGTCAATACATAAAAATGTTTTAAACAGAGATAGAAACATGCATGCATACAATAGTCAATATAATTTAACTTTGTATCAATATACAAGAATCTATACCAATATATTTGTCTAAAAGCAGTAACTCACAATTATAAATCTATTATCCCATCATTCCCTCTTTTTTTTTTTCAAAATGATCCCTGAGCTTAT